ATGGCCGTGTGTTCACCCGCTTTTCGTACCGGATGTGCCAGGGCAGGACTCTTGTGTCCCATGAGGTGCCGAGGTTCACTGACATTGACAAAGCCGTCACCTTCGCCAAAGTCAGCGACTGGTGGGATCGTGGAGACAAGCGAATGTCTTGGTCAATTGTCATCAATCAGGAGTGGACATCGCACGAGGTAAATTTTGATAACGCCTCGATGCTCGGTTGGATTCACACTGACGAGATTTTGTCTTTGGTCCCAGATCATAGGCCTCCGTTGCCTCCAAGGGCAGAAGCATTTATTCAGTCTGTCCCCTGGGAGGACGATGGTCGGTTCCTCTGCGCTAACTTGCACTGGGTGTGAACTGGCTTTGGCCGTTGCCCCTCTTGCAGTAATCCAATCAAGTATAAGCACATGGTTGCCCATGATTATTTGCTTCAGTCGTGCCGACGCAAGATCATTCGAAACTCGCTTTGGAACCATGGCATTTTATTGCATGTTGACAATCTTGAGACGCTCCCTTATGAGCGCGATCGTTATGTCGGCGAGCTTGTGAGCAGACAACCGAGAGCTTCGGCGGACGTAATAAAACAACAGCAACAACAATCTGAAGTTGGAGCGCAAGTGGGCAACGAATGATCAGTATATTAGATTGGCTGCTTCGGGTCAAACCTTTGGAAACAGCCGCCCGGATTGTGTTCCTGCCTGGATTCCTGAGCGCGTTGCGGCCCAGCCGCCGGCGCGCCGCGGCCCCTTCTTTCAGTATCTTGAACCTCTGAAGAGGCGATTTATAAAATGGCTTGCACATTTGGCTGAGAGAGAAAGGGTTCAAGCTCCAACGACCGCGGAGTGGTGGCCCTTATTTTGGACAACAGAAATTGACCTATATGCGCGTCCCATGTCTTGTCCCGCTCTGGCTGCCTTTGAGTGGCCAGAGGTACTCGACTCACGCTTTGAACCCATTGAAGGTTGGATTGAATGGGAACGCAACATGACTAATGCGAATATCTTCACACCAGCGCTTCGGACATTGCGCGACGCAAGAGAGGGAACAGCACCCTAGCTGCCCGTTGCCCAGGGCAGCGCTGTGGGCGCCACAGGGCCCAGCCCTCGTGGACGTCGGTTGCTTGGGCAAATAATTTTGTGGCACGTCTTCGTCGTGCTTCCCAGTCCGTCAGCAGGCGCAACAAAATATGTTCCAAATGCCCTCTTATCTCGGTGCGCAAGCATGCCAAACCTGCCGCCGGTCCAACCGTGACGGCAGGTGAGGACAACGTAGACATGACCCTTGATTTCACCGCAGTCTGCGGGTCCCAGGCCGGGCAGATACTTGACGGGAGGATCAATCTTGATCAGCCCGATGGGTATGTGCATTCTCATCGCGATGACAGGTCGTTGAGCACCACTTTGACCGAGGACGGAGCCAAACCTGTGGCGGCTCAATATGTCATGGAGTACACCAGCTATCGCCCGGACACACATGAACCTGAAAGGTTACGATTGTCGGGCGAAGTATCGCACGACGTTCCAGAAGACGCGCGGCACACCATTGAATGGAACTGGAAGATCCCTGTTGAAGAACTGGAGTTGGGTCTCCGCATTATTTGCTTGATTGCGATGGTTCGCGAGTTCATTAGTTGTTTCATTGCCGAGGGATATTACATAGCATGCCCTGGGGCTAACTTTCTGGCCCGCGGCGCCGGCGCAGAGTGCGACGATGACAAGCGTAGAACGGATGCATACGCCCTTGATTGCCGCATTCGTGCGGCGATTGAGACAGACGACCTCGTCGAGGAATGGGCCCATGATTTGGGCAGACAGGGTCGCGCCGGCATCCGTCGTCAGGACATGAAGCTGCAAGAAGCTTTTTATTGGTTATATCCATTCGTGGACGCAACTGAGCTCCAAGACAAAGATGAAGGCCCCTTTCGCGGTGCCTGCGGCAAGTTTGGTTTTTTGCTGCTATTGCCGCAAGGGATATTATTAGATGTGCCAGAACGCAACGAGTGACTAGTGTTCGTGAGAGTGGAGGCGCTGATGGGCCCTCCGACGGCCAAGCCGATACGGAGGGGCCCGCTTTGGCGAAAGCGCGGCCCAGAACAGCTGGTCGCCCCGATTCGCCACCTCCTCCGCGCAGACCCGACGTCCAAGACGATCGGGCCAAGGATGGCGCCGCGGAATCTCCGTACTCTGCCGGCGGTCAAACCGCCGCGGCAGGAGATGAGCACCCATGGTATTCGTCTGACAGGGGCACGTGGGATTGGTCTAGGCCTACGCGCGCGCGCGGCGGAGCCATGGATGCCGGGCGCGCGGCTGGCGGCTACGACCTCTCGAGGCACTGCCCGCGCTATGCGAATGATGCGCTGGATGGATGCTGGGTTCACCGTGACGTGATACACTGGATGACTCCCAGGGAGAGCCAGTCACGTGCGCGGCATGTCGCGTACCTGAATGACTACAATTACCGCTTTCCGAGAGATGGAAAGGGCTCCAAGGACAAGAACAAAAACAATGACAAGTGCAACAGGTCAGCTCCTTACGCTGGCCGTGGCAAGGGATGCAGATCCCGTTCGCCTCATTGGGCCGCTGATCAGACGGGAGGCTCGTCATCTTCGCATCCGAGACCTCCGTCTCCGCCATCGGGGCGATACTTTAGAACAAGAAGTGAGAGCAGGCAGAGCCCGGGCGACCAAGTCGCCGCGGGCGCGACCGAGCGACAGTCGCTTCGGCAGAGAGAATTTATTTAACTATTGGCGGGGTTCGTCGGGTTTCTCCGGCCTTCAGCTCCCTGGCAACCACCGTTGTGCGGTAACATGCTTTTGGGGTTCGCTCCGGTGGCTGTATATATGTACAGGCCAGGCGAGCTGTGGCTGGATGGGCTCTACGAAGCCCGCCGCGGGGGGAGTAAATATGCTCCTCTCTGCCTCATCTTGCACTTGCCTCTCTCGCTGCCTGCCTTGCCACACCTTGACTCTGCGGCACTGTTCCGCAGCTGTGTATGCTCTCAGGTCAGAGAAGGAGCGCGCCAGCCCTCGGCCGCCGCGCGTCGTCGGTCGTCGGCCAGCCGGCCTCCTCCCGCCCCATACTTGAGTGCAGTTGCTTAACGGTTACTTGTAGTTTCATCGATGTCTCATCCCGTGTCCTCTACTATTGAGCAGAGTCAACACGATACCTTACTTCCTTTGTCATCTTACCCCGGGGAGGAAAGACCTGCTTCGCCATGGAACCTGTGATTGTTTTGTCAAGCTCAGCGCGCGATTGCCAGCAATCCGCAACTGCGGCGACACCTAAGAACGGACGCAGCCATTGCGGTCGCTGCGAACGAGCCACCCTGATTGCCGCCAGTGCGGCCTCTGCGGTCAGCCGCCCTCCCGCGGTCCGCAACTGCAGTCGCTGCGAGAAAGCCGCCCTTACTGCCGCCATTGCGGCTTCTTGTCCTCGGCCTGCTTCTTCTTCTTATTATTAGTTATTATTCTTCTTATTATTACTTTTATTGTTCTTATTGGTCTTCTTCTTTGGCGCGGTTTTGGGTTTCGCCTCCCACAGCAGCTCTTCTCCTTTCATGACGGGCGCCGTATTCACCAACACAGGGGGCTTCACGGCGATCGCGACCCCGCGTGTCTTGGGCGCGCACACCTTCAATTCTTTCTCCTGGAGCTTCATGTTGATGCGCGCAACTGCGCTTCGATTGCTCTCGTTGCTCTGCAGGATCTCATGTGGCGTTTTGAATTCGGGTTGCAAGTAGAAGGTCGTGGGCGGGGCCGCATCTGGTGCCCCTTTTCGCACATGCCTGCACGGGCCTTCTCTCGGGGCACGTGCTGGCGGACAACACTTTGGATGCTTTTGGGGTGCACGGCCACAACTCGATGGTCTGCTCGTCGTGTGCGGCGGTTGCCTTGACCGCCCGCTTGGCTGTGGCAACATTTTGAGGCACCCCTACCTCCGCGTCCGCATCGGCGCACAGGTGGTGCGTCCAAAGGGACAGCAGCACTGCGCCTGCCCAAGCGGGCTCCCGCCCCAGCTCCTTCGCTGCCGTTGAAGTCCTCCACTCGGTGCGTGGCAGAGGGAGGGGTCCTTGTGGAGTAGCCGTGGCTTCCCTGCTGTTTTGGTGGTTCGTTGGTAGTTGCGTCCTGGGGTCAAAGGAAATGACCGTCGGCCCCAACCTCCACCAGCTACCCAGCCGCCGCCCTTGTTTTTTTTTTTGTGTGTGTGTGTGTCTTTCGAGGCAAGCGAGCCTCAAAGGCTAAACGTAAACAAATCTAAGACTACCCTGATTCAAGTCTGATTTAACTCTGGTCCGGAACTCTGTTTCATTTATGTTTTTTTGAAACTCTGATTTGATTATGGTCTGAACTCTGCTTTAACTCTGATTCGGCTCTGCCCCCAGCCAGAGTTGAATCAGAGTTTAATCGAGTTCCAGACCAGAGCGAAATCAGAGTTTCAGCTGAACCAGAGAGATGAATCAGAGTTTCAGGCCAGAGCCAAATCAGAGTTTCAGCCAAACCAGATAAGAGTTTCAGACCATAGCCAAAACAGAGCCGAATCGGAGTACCATCAGAGTTCTGGCAGTCCGCGGTGGCGCGGGGCGCGCTGCGCAAGTGCGCTTGTCCTCTCTCCTTGCCCATCCTCCCTCCTCCCTTCGCTCTCTCTTTTCCTACCTCGTCTATCCCCTCCTTCCTTCCTCCGCTTCCCTCTCCCTCCCTTCCCCTCCTCCCCCGTTCGCGCCCCTCTTCCGCCCTTTCCCCTCCTCTCCTCCTCAGATTGTCTCCTCCCTCCTCCCCTTCTCCCCGCACTTCTCCTCCACCTTCCGTCCTCCTCCTCCTCCTCTTCCTCCCCCCGTGGCCTCACTAATCCCGTGTCCTCCTTCCTCGGTCGCCGTCGCCCTCCACGTGCTGCCTTCCCCTGCCCGCGGCCCCCATTCCTCCCTGCGTCCTTTTGTTCCTCCTCCTCGTCCTCCTCACCTCCCCCCCCCTCCTCCGTGTCGATCGTCAGTCTTCGCTCCTCGACCTCAGCGTCCCGCCCTCTTTATCGCCCTCGCGCCCCCCCTCGCTCCAGGCCCCGCGCCTGGCCTCGTCTCCGCCCTCGCCCCCGCGCCTGCCCTCGCCCCCGCCCGAGGCCATTTTCACTTCAGCCCTCTTTTCGCCTTTGCCTTCGATCCCGCCCTTGCTCTCACCGTTGTTCCCGCCCTCGTTCCCGCCCTCGTTCCAACCTTCGTTCCCGCCCTCGCTTTCGCCGTCGTTCCCGCCCTCGCTCCCGCTGTCGCTCCCGCCCTCGTTTTCGCCCTCGTTCCCGCCCTCGCTCCCGCCCTCGTTCTCGCCCTCGTTCTCGCCTTCGTTTTCACCCTCGTTCCCGCCATCGTTCCCGCCCTCGTTCTCGCCTTCGTTTTCACCCTCGTTCCCGCCTTCGTTCCCGCCTTCGTTCCGGCCCTCGTTGTCGCTATCCTTCCCGCCCTCGTTCCCGCCCTCATTCTCGCCTTCGTTTTCGCCCTCGTTCCGGGGCCGCCTGGAGGTCGCCCGGGGGAAATCAGACTTGAAACAAAGTTTCGGCCAGACCTCAAACAGACCTCAAACGGACTTTAAACATACCTCAAACAGACCTAAATCAGAGATTGGCCCAGAACAGACGTCAAACAAACTTCAAACAGACCTCAAACACACGTCAAATAGACTTTTACAGAGTTCAAACAGACCTCCCGGAGGTTCCCCAGGGGTTTCCCGCAGTCTCCCCGGAGGTTCCCTTGAGGTTCCCCGGAATTTCCCCGGAGGCGCCCAGGGAATTCCCGAGGCGCCCAGAGGAATCCCGGAGGCGCCCCCCGCCCTCATTCCCGCCCTCGCTCCCCCCTTCGTTCCCGCCCTCGCTCCCGCCCTCGTTTTCGCCCTCGTTTTCGCCCTCATTCTCGCCCTCGTTCTCGCCCTCGTTCCCGTCTTCGTTCCCGCCTTCGTTCCCGCCCTCGTTCTCGCCCTCGTTCCCGCCCTTGTTTCCGCCCTCGTTTTCGCGTTCGTTCTCTCCCTCGTTTTCGCCTTCGCTCCCGCCGTCGCTCCCGCCATCGTTCCCGCCGTCGCTCCCGCCCTTGTTATCGCCCTTGTTCCCGCCCTCGTTCCCGCCCTCGTTCCCGCCCTCGGTCCCGCCCGCGTTCTCGCCTTCGTTCTCGCCCTCACTCCGGCCCTCGTTCCCGCCCTCCTTATCTCCCTCGTTCTCTCCCTCTTTCTTGCCTTCGTTTTCGCCCTCGTTCTCGCCCTCGTTCTCGCCCTCGTTCCCGCCTTCGTTCTTGTCCTCGTTCTCGCCCATCGCCCACGCCCCCTTTCCCGCCCCAGTTCCTGCCCCCGCCTCCGCCTTTTTTCTCGCGATCGTTCCTACCTTTATCCCTTGTCCCCGCCTTCGTTCTGGGCACCTCCCAGGGCACCTCCCGCGCCCCCGAGCCTCGCGAAAAGCGCAGTGGTTCTCCTCTGCGCGTCCTGCCCCCGACCTGTCCCGGGCGGGCGGCGGGGCGGTCACCGCGATGCGCACCCTGTCGCGGCGCGGCAGCCGGCAACCCTGAGGAGCGAGCCTCGGGTGAGCCTTTTTTCGCCCCAGCTGCCGTTGAGCAGCTTTGGGCAGGGCCGCGCAGGCGGGGCCCGCGGCCCCGCCCCAGCTCGCAGCATTTGGCAGCTGGCGGCTGGGCCTGAGCCACGACCTGCCGCTCGGCTGACGCAATCCTTCTGTTGTTCTTGAAGACGCATGCGCACGGGGCCGACCAGCAGCGTTCTGAACGCGCTCTGCCAGAGTGCCCCCCCCGTGACTTCCCCGCGGTGGCGGGGGGGGGCGTTCCAGAGCCCTGGGCCCTGGGAGGGAGTTGCGACGCGCTCCTCCAGGATGCCCCCCCGGGACCGCTACCCGTGACGGGGGGGGCGCCCTGGAGGAGCGAGCGTCGTCGTCGTCGTCGTCGCCGCCGCAACGGCGACGACGGCGACGACGGCGGTGACGGCGGGGAGAGGGGAGAGGAGAAGGAGGAAGAGGAGGGCCCGCAGCACAATTCAAGCGCGTGTACTGTTTATTTTGTCGTTTTACCATTATCATTGCGCGCGTGCGTGCGCAATGTTATGATTTTGATACATTGTATGTTATATGTATATATATATATGATACCGGAGAAGAGCCCAAATCAGGGCTATAGGGCAATTGAGCCATAGGGCTATAAAGCTGAAGGGCTAGAGAGTTGTAGGGCTACAGGGCTATAAGGCTATAGGGCACCCCCGGGCACCCCTGGGCACGCCCAGGCACCCGGGCCCCCGGGCCCCCGGGCACCCCCGGGCACCCCCGGGCACCCGGGCACCCAGGCGTGCCGCGAAAATCGGCGGCAAACCTAATCTAACCATACGAATCCGCTCGGACCCCTAGAGAGGCAAGCTCCGATTGGGGAGCAACAAACTCGGTCGCCGCCGTCGTCGTCGTTGTTTTCATCGCCTTCGTCGTCGTCGTCGTTGCCGCCGCCGTCGCCGCGGCGCCGTCGCCGTCGTCATCGTCGCGAGACGGGGGAAGGGGGGGAAGAGATTGGGTGCATATCAACAAATTAAGAACGAGGCAGGAAAGGGCGCAGGATGGGGGGGATGAGGGCGAGGAGGCGGAAGAGGACGTGGAGGATTTCTAGATACAGGGCCACACCGAAGGCGATTGTGCTGTTACCCTGCCGCGTTCTGGCCAAAATTCCGCATCGTTCAACGGTGTGCCCGGGGACTGCTTTGATCGATGCGCGTTGTTCCAAGCAGTGCCCCAGCACTGTGTCGACGGATTCTTTCTACAAGTGCCATAAGTTCATCCCCATCCCCGAGTCCCATCCAGACCCCTACCATCTCGGCCCCCCAGCCGGGGATACACCTCATCTCCATCCCCGACCAGAGGGGAACATCAACTTGGAATCGGCGGCACATGGACCCCCGATGGCGAATCCCCACAGTGCTGGGCGGGGTCGGCTACCGGGCCTCCATCGGCGATCAATGGGCGCTCGTGCGTCGATGCGTCCCCCCTGAACCAATTTGCCCTGAGCGTTGCCCCTTTCGGAATCATTTAGCCGGCCCCTGTCCCCATCCCCATCCCCATCCATACCCCCACCATCTCAGCACCCCGGTTGGGGATATACCTTTCAAAACCCGAAGTGAACAACAAATCGGCCATATGGGCCCAGGCCGCGCCCATGGGGATAGAAGTCGGTCGAACGATGCTCAGCGACGGGAAGGGTCATGTGTTTATTGAGGTCCTCCTCCTCCTCCTCCTCCTCCTCTTCCTCCTCCTCCTCCTCCTCCTCCTCCTCCTCCTCCTCTGTTTCCCCTTCCTCATCTTCCCCACCCCCCCGCTTTCCGATGCCAGCAGCCGATGCCGATGCCGCTAATCACCCAGGCATGCTCGCGCCCCGAGAAGGTCGGGACGGCGGTTCTCCTCAGTGTTCGTCTTCCAGGGGGCCCTCACCGTGCCCTGGGACCGTCGAAGATCGGCTCGGGATGGAACATGTTCTATGGCGAAGGGGTCGGGATCTTCGGAGAGTCAGTATCGACAAACATCAGAACCTCGAATGTGTGGGGCAACCGATTCTGATGTAGCTATGTTAGGTTCGTGTCGTGTCGATTGGCGGCGACCCCGCCGCCGGCGTTCAACGTTGAACGCCGCCGTCGACCCAGATTTGGCTCGATCTTGAACGATCTGACGTTTCGGAAGGGGTAGGTCGTTCAAGGTTGAACGATCCTCGCGACGTCAGAAGCAGCCAAACGTCGGTACAACATGAACCCGCCACACCCTGGGTCGAGGAGCAAGCAATGGCGTAAACTTGAACTTTCGAACCTCCGCAAGTTTATGTTTATGTCATTGTGTTTTTGCTCGACGGCTGCTGATGGGGCGCGGCCCGCGGGCGCAGCTTTCCCTGGAGTTCAGTAGAGGAAGCGGTATCGATGCCGCTGCCGCTAAGACACACAAACCTCCCAGACAAGTCATTACCCCCCCGCCCAGACCAGACTCGAACGGGCTGGGCTGCCTTTCGCCCAGACGCCCGAGAGCCCTCCAAGTCGGCTCAGATCAGACCTCCCCCAACATCCAAATTAGGCCCCTCAGGTTTTATCACGAAATCCGAAGTGCCCTTCCTGAGATCCTGACGTCCCAATTTTTCGAGCCAGACATGGTCGTCAAGTTTCGGGCCCTGGGACCCTCACACATCGATCCTGTTCGAAAAGTGCAGCCGAAAGATGGGTCTACGTCTTTGGTCGTGATTTTTAACGACATGGACTAACGGGAGGGGTGCACGGGTTTCAGAGTTTGGGGAGCATTAAGCGGTGGTGTGCGTTTCTATTTTGGTGTTCGTTTTTTTACGGGTTCTAGGAAGTCCTAGGAGTGAGAGGGGGTAGAGGATGATGAGAAGGAGGAGGGTGCGATTTTTGTCCCAGAAGGATGGTGAGTCGCAGGAGGAGGAGGAGGAGGAGGAGGAGACGAAGAGGTGGAGGTCGCGCGTTAGCAGATGGATGACGAACGATGCATGCACAGGTGGCTACGACCGACGTCGGACAATGGACCAGGATAACGACGATTACGGACGATGCAGCACGGACGCAGATGGATGACGACGACGACGACTTCTGGAGGCCGTCTTGGGTTCTTGCAGGTTCCCAGAGTTCCGCGGGAGGCCCTCAGAGGTTTCAAACACGTACTAAAATCTAGAACCGCCCTCCCCTTGAGGCCATCGTGTTCGCATGTCATATGCTTTGCGTCCGAAGGGGTCCGAGCCCTGGAACACAGCTGTGCAAGATGCTCGAAGGCTCCTTGAAGCTGGGTCCAACGAGGGCGGCGGCGGCGGTGGCGGCGGGGATACACGGCTGCGGCGGAGGCGAATGGCGATGGCGGCGGCACCGCGGTGGCTCCGCCGGCGGCGGCCCCGCCTGCGGCGGCGACGGGCGGCGGTGGCGGCGTTGGCGACGGCGACGGCGACGGCCGACGGGCGCCATGACCTCCCCCACCAAGAGCGCGCGAGGTCGCGCCAGCCGCCTCCTTCGAGGCATTGCCGCCGTGCGCGCCAGAGGAGCTCGGCGACCCCAGGTTTCACAAGGAGCGCCCGACTCGGCGGCGTGGCGCAGAAAGGGCTCCGTCGTTCTCAGGACTGGTGGGTTCGATGATCGATTGTGAAGCGTGGTTTGTTGTTGTGCTTCCTCCTTCTCCATCCCCTCCCCTCCCTCCCATCTCCGCACCCTCCGCCTCTCGCTGCGTCCTCTTGCTACGACCTCTTGCTGCGTCCTCTCGGTGGGCCTGGTTTGGCGGGCGTGGTGTTGCCGGGCACTTGTCCGACGGAGGGCGAGTTCTGGACGCATCTTGCATATCATGCCATGCGAAGGCCAGGACTTGAATCGACGGCGTTGCGCAACACCGACGTTTCCACAGGAAGATTCCCATCAGGTGCGCTTCGTCGAGAGCGTTCCAGGGACGCTGGGAACGTGACAGATGGCCCGTGGTATGGACCGAAAGACAGCAAGGCATCAGACCTGTGTGGGGGTCAGCCGGTCCCCTCGGATGCCCTTGAGCTGACGCGGGTCGGGGAGCTAACCGTGGCTGGCTCCCTCCTGATTGACCTGGGTTTGGCTTGTTGGTAGGCCTGGGTTCGGTGGGTCAGGGTTCGTCACATGACCCTGGCCGCTTCTTGGTTATTTAGTGTTCTGCTGGCCCCAGTCAGTTCGGCCAGGCGGCGGGGCGACGTGACAGATTTCGCTCTTCCATATCCTCGTCCTCTGGGTGTGTTTTTTGTTCGGTCCCCGAGGCCACCGATCTGGGTCGAGAACTGCCCCCGCGCAAGGGGTCGGAACCTCTGGGATCCACGGGCTGTAGAAATTTCATGGGAGGGATCCGGGAAGGGACTCCAGAGAAGGGGCTCAAGAGACGTGGGTCCATGCAAACGGGGGTCAGTCAGAGCGCCAGATTTTGCAGGATCCTGCAGAGCCAGGGACACACTGACCCGGGTTTGGGTGCAGGGTCCTGCAGGATCCTGAAAGATCTTGCAGGATTTTGCAAGGCCCGACTGATCTGGGCTTGCATCGACCCTGGTCGGTACGTCCCCCGGGGAGAAAGAAGTCGTCGGCGGCCAGCGGCTTTACTGAGAGCGTGCTCTGCCTGCTTGGTCTGCTCCAGGGCGGGTGTCGCACGTGTACCACCTTCGCCACCGCCCCGAGACAGCAGGACATGCAAATGAAAGGTGGACGCCCTTGTCCTCCCCAACACGGGGGAGGTTGATGATGCGACGCGGGGCCTTGCGATGAAGCGTGTGATGGGTGACTCAGGAAACTAATTGGATCGACCTTACAAGCGAGCCGGGAGACGCCAGGCACCCAACTGGACAATCAGATTTGGGTATATTCGGTTCGACCGCGCCGAATCGTAAGCGCCGAGGCCTGCGCGCAAAGCCGCAGGATGCAGCGACAAGCGGGATGGAGGCGATGCAAAGAGCGAAAGGAAGGCAAGGGGGAAGGCAAATCGCTGGCCGAACGCTTAGAACGAACAACATGGCGCGAAGCCGCGCAGGTGCGGAAGCGCATACCCGCAGTCGGAGCGCGTTTGCACGATGCGCGGCCAGGGAGGTGTCGACGAGGCGACGGGCGCAGAAAAGAAGGGCCAGCACCACAGCGATCCCAGCGTTCCGGCACGGCAGGCCTCCTCATCCTCGCTCCGATCAGTTCTGGGAAGGCCGAGTAGGTGCTGATGGGGATTATCATCAGAGGGGAGTGCGTACCTCGTCGCAGCCCTCTCGGCCCGAGGGGTGCGCTTGCAGCGGTGCTCGTCGTGCTCTTGGAGTGGCCTGACAAGGGCCTACCAGCCAGGCTTGTCCACGGTTTCGAGATAGCTGCGGAGGTCCCTGCTTCTGGCGTCCTCCGTCCGTGCTCCTCGAAATCTACTGGGCACAATGCGCCCCAACACCCGTCCGAGACGCTGCGGGGACCATTTGCCCGAGAGTTCGTGGACAGCATGGAACGAAGCATGCGCCCGGGCCCCCTGACGAAGGTCACTTACGACTTGACAGTGGAAGAAATCAAGGCTGGGCTCGCCGACCAATTTGTGACGCGGCGTGAGCTCGACCTTCGTTTTGGGCCTGGTGGCGATCGCCCGCTTCCGCGCCACGCTACATGGCAAGGCGACAAGTTGCGTTTACTCGATGATGGGGAGAGGGTTCGCACCAACGCCTTATCTTTCTTGTCAGAGACGCTGGCCACTATTCCGCCAGAGCTGCCGCTTCTCATTGCCCGCGCTGGCCTTTTCAACTTTCTTCGCAAGACGGCCGCTTGCTTCCTGATTGGTTCCAACTCGTCGCGTCAGTGGAGGATTGGTGGAAGGGGTACCGACAATTATTCCCCACTCGCAGGGACATGGGGTTTGTCGTGGTGGCCCTTCTCCACCCCGGCACGCACGAGTGCATGTACAGCGTGTTGCGTGGGCTGCCTTTTGGCCTGGGTTCGGCGGTGAACCAGTTCAACCGGGCCCCGTTCCTCCTCACAGCCGCCGCTCGACGCTTGCTTTACGTGATGGGCGGGCATTGCGTCGACGATAACGTTATTGTAGATTCAGCGCTGTTCAAGGGGGACGCCCAACAGGCCTTCCAGGAGCTCGCGCGCCTGCTTGGCGTTGCGCTCTCGGACGGAAGGCGCGCGCCGCCGACGTCGATGCTGCCGTTCTTGGGGCACTTGAACGATCTTAGCCGCATCCAGACCGATTCAGCGGTCAGTTTTGAGCCTCAGTTAGGGACGCGCGACCGCTTTTTGGACGAGGTGAACCAAGTTTTTCTGGCTGGGCGTCTCCAGTCCGGCGAAGCCGCACACCTGCGTAGTATAAGCACATGGGTTGACACCTCGTTTGCTGGCCGGCCGTGTCGGGGGGCGTTGTCCGTCCTCGTTGCACTCCAATACTACGAGGACACCGTTGAGATCACCCCGAACCTTCGGTGTTGCCTCCAGCACTTATCCTCCGTAGCACGACGCGCTGCGCCGAGGTCGTTGGCCATCGCGCACGACCCGCTTCCACCCGCGGTGGTCTACACAGACGCTTCCGCGGACACTGGTCGGCCGCCGCGTCTTGGCGCTCCGGTGTTTGTTCTTGGACGTACGCCTGCTTGCCCGGTTTATGACGTGTCCGACAACATGTCTGCCCACTTTGGCTCACAGGGCGGCCATGTAATCAACCAGGCAGAGCTGCTAGCCGCCCCTCTCCTGGCGTGGTCCATGCCATCCGTGCTGCAGAACAGGGACGTGTTATGGTTCATTGACAACCAGGCAGCCGAGTCCGCTTTCGTCAAGGCGGGGTCGTCTACAGAGTCGATGTGTCGCCTGGCCCTCGTGGCCACAGCGGTTCTGACGGTTCTTGGAGCCAGGCCGTGGTTAGAAAAGGATTCCGTCGTCCGACAACCCCGCAGACGTCCTGAGCCGCGCCAGATACGACGACTCCGTCGTGTTGTCTCCCACTCGTGCCGCTCGGTGGGAGGCGTTCTCACCACGCGAGCCTCCTGTAGCCGCCTTAGACTTCGACAGCCTGTTCGCCTCGCCTCCCTGACTGGTCGCGGGAGAAAACACAGGCGCCAGGGCGTGCGAGGAACGCCCGCCTCTCAGCTGATCTATGACCAGTTCTCACTTGTTAATTTCCACAGCGTTGGGGGGGGGGCTTGGGGACTTACCATTCTCAGCGTTGGGTGTTGTTTGGCCGATCAGAGAACCCCATTGCCATATGTGGGATTTTTGATACGGAGTACCAAGCTCCCCCTCCGCCCCCACAAGCCAAAGATTGCAGCTAGGGCGTTGATTCCTCTCACACCCCCCTTCTCGCTGATAATCGCTCCGATCAGTTCTGGGAAGGCCGGGTAGGTGCTGATGGGGATTCTCATCAGAGGGGAGTGCGTACCTCGTCGCAGCCCTCTCGGCCCGAGGGGTGCGCAGGCGAGGGTTTCGTGCCCCTGCCCCCGTCCCCTTGATACACCACCTCGTCGGCTGTAGCGCTGATGTTCGTGCCCTTTTATGCCGGCGTGCCAAGCAACCGGTTGGGCCGTGACCTCCTTGGGTTCTGTCCGGACCATCTGCAGCCGGCGACAGTCCTGGGTCCAGGTCTCGCACGGGAAGTCCCTTTCCCCGCGCCCCTTGCGGGGGTGTGTTGTTTGGCCGATCAGAGAACCCATTGCCACATGTGGGATTCTTGATACGGAGTACCAAGCTCCCCTTCGCCCCCAAAAGTCAAAGATTGCAGCTAGGCCGCTGATTCCTCTGAATCCCCCCCTTCTCGCTGATAATCCTCCTCCTCCTCCTCCCCCTCCTCCTCCTTCTCCCCCTCCTCCTCCCCCCCCCTCCTCCTCCTCCTCCTCCTCCTCCTCCTCCTCCTCCTGCTCCTCCTCCTTTTTCTCCTCCTCCTCGTCCTCCTCCTCCTCCTCCTCCTCCTCCTCCTCCTCCTCCTCCCTCCCCCTCCTCCTCCTCCTCCTCCCCTCCCCCTCCTCCTCCTCCCCTCCTCCTCCTCCTCCTCCTCCTCCTCCCCCTGTTCCTTCTCCTCCTCTTTCTCCTCCTCATCCTCCTCCTCCTCCTCCTCCTCCTCCTCCTCCTGGGCCCCGGGGGAGAGGCCACAGAAGTCACGGAGAGCTCGCCCAGCAAGAGGAAGACGAAGGGAGGCGACCCACGGCGAGCAGATCCGGAGCGAAGGACGTCGACCGCCAACGTCATGAGAAAGCGGCGGCGCGCCAGTGTTAAGTCGGGCCTGTCCCTGTACAGGAGGAAGTTTTAAACAGAGTCAAAAAATAATGTTGGGACGATCTTTTGCGTGTGTGTTTGAGCATGTTGGTGCATGTTTTAACGACTTGTAAGTTTTCGTCCCAAAGCCCCCTGTAGGAGGACAGGCCCGAATTAACGCCAGTGGTTTTGTTCGTAGGCTCGTCGTCTGGAGGCCGTTTCTGAGCCCTGGGGCCACGAACGTCACGTACCTGGTGCGTGGTCGAGAGTTTGAAAACTGAGCCGTCGGGGAAAGAATCAGGAGGAGGAGGGGGAGGAGGAGGGGGAGGTGACTCTGGAGACTCTGCTTGATCGCGTAGCGAAAGGATTATACCACCTGTCGCCACCCTGAGCTTCTCTAGGTACGCAAGGTACGAGAAGCCGATGAAGTCGCCATGCAAGGTGGACACCACTCCCCAGAGATGGTAGACAGGACCGATACGCACGAGGAACATAGTTACCGATACCTCGTCTGGTTGCCTCACTTCAAATACAGAAAACCGTGTACAGAAGCTTCGCCCCTTCCCTCCAGACAACCAGAACACGGAACGTGGATAGACACACTAGAACAACATATACACATTTCGCAAGAACGTGGAATAGCCAAATCCGTTGAGGAAATCACATGTGCTTGCAAGATTGTTCCCTTTTGTTCTGTTGTTGGGCAGCAGTGTGCCAGTCCATCACAGCCGTAACACTGGGAATGTAAGAGGATGACGGCCCGCCACGAAGGGTATCAGCCTCACGTAGAAGTCTCGCACGGGCTTCGCAGGACTCCCAGCTTGGAGGAGCCGCCACGACGGCCCTCTCGGTCGGCACCTGCGGCTGTTCGGTGGTGCCCTCGAAAGGAGCAGGGTCTGTACGACAGGCGCGAGATACACGAGCACGAGCTTCCCGCCACGCTGCTCCTGTTGAGCGGCGCTCGGCCGAGGCGTCCGAGGGGTCGTGATGATCAGTGCCCCTTTCGCCTGTGCGGCGCGCGGCCACGGCGTCCGAGTGGTCTTGTTGACCAGTCCCCCTTGCCCCGTCGGCATTCTGGGAGACTCCTGTGGGCTGACTTGATTTCTTGGAAATACATGTCCGTGCATTGACCGCCAATGGGAAACTGAATTGGGGTCTCCTGAATTGGGGTCTCCTGCACCCTGAGAAAAGAAGTGCGCCGCAGGTGCACAGCGCACATGAGACGTCGGGCTGTGACGTCGCCTCATTTGTGCCCTGATCCCATAATCGTAGATGATCACGTCGGGCTCCAGCTTCGCCCTCCCTCGTCTCACACACGTTGGCCAGGTCAGGAATGCTGGGCTCCAACTCCGCCACACGCTGCTCGCAATGATGTGTCTGGAAGCACACGCGCCGGGTTCCAACTTCGCATTCCCTCTTTCACGCACGTTGGCTGGATCAAGGGCAAGGCTAGGAATGTCAGCTCCTACTTCGTCGTCCCTTCCGTCATCTCGCTCTCGTTGGTTGGATCAAGGGCTAGGCTAGTAGTGTCGGGCTCCATCTTCGCCACACGCTGCTCGCAGTGGGGTGTCTGAGATGGCGCCGAAAACACCGTGCAAGGTTCAATGGTTACGTCGGGCTGCGACTTCGCCTCGTGCATGCCCTGATCCCTGACTCGCAGATGATCACTTCGGGCTCCAACTTCGCCTTCCGTCATCTCGCACGTTGGCTGGATCAGGGACTTGGCATGTAGCGTCGGGCTCCAACTTCGCTGTCTGCTTCTCGCAATGAGATGTCTGGGGTGGCTCCGAATACGCTGTGCGAAAGTCACTGGCGACGTCGGGCTGTGACTTCGCCCCAAAAATGCCCTGATCCCAGAATCGTAGATGACCACATTGGGCTCCAAATTCGCCTTCCCTCTTCTCGCACACGTTGTCTGGACCAGGGGCTTGGCTTGTAGTGTTGGGCTCCCACTTCGCCTCGCGCATCTCGAAATAACGTGTCGGTTGTAGCTACTGCTCTTCAGCCCCCACGTCCATGCCATGTTCTCCGGAGGCTGCCATTGTCTGGTATGCTGCATCTTGCGGAGCTGCTCCACCTCGCGGGTCAGGCGGTGGATGATTTGCTCAGCCGACCTTTGTGCCCATGCCCGCCGGGCTTTGCGCTCTCGCGGGGTGAGCCTTGGGCGCCACTCTTCGGCACCCATCCCGTAGCACAACTAAACTCCAGTGTTTGTTGATGTCAAGAGCGGTCGAACATGTGACAGCCGCAACAGAACCTCTCAAGCACCGCGGGGAGGTCCTGGAGCAGGCCTGGGCAAGGAAGCCTGGTCCGAAGTTGCTTGAGAGGAGGAGGGGGAGGAGGAGGAGGAGGGGGAGGAGGAGGAGGAGGAGGAGGAGGAGGAGGAGGACAAGGAGGAGGAGGAGGAGGAAAAGGAGGAGGAGGAGGAGGAGGAGGAGGAAGGGGTGCGGGAAGAGGGCGGATTTGGCTTTCGGAGGTCTTCGATGATGGCGAAGGTTTCCACGGGGGTGCGAAGTTTTCTGTGACGGCTTTCGTTGGTTTCTGAGGGGGGAGGAGAAAGGGCAGGAGGAAGACGGCATAGAGGACAATCGTTGAGGAGGAGGTGGAGGAGGAGGAGGAGGAATGGAGGAGGAGGAGGGGGAGGAGTGAGGAGGAGTATGGAGCAGCCAGATGCGTTTCTTGACTCATGATCGGAACCCGAGGTGCTGTTAGTGTCGGCCTTCTCTGGGTCTCTGGGTGAACAGTCAGTTTGGGAAACACATAGTTCGGGCGTCGCGTTGCACATCTGCACTGTCCAGAATACTGTGGAGGCCTTACGGCCAGTGCCGCCGACCCAACGGTGTTTTGGCGATTTCGTGGCCCGTTCTCGTTTCGATGTCTTTTTGCGGTAAAGGCGAATCGAAAACAAAATGAGGGAACACGAAAACAAAACGAAAACGGAAAACACCGTTTAGGTTCAGCCTAGCCAGGGGGAGCGGCATTCTGACCCTGGACCCCCCCCACCGCGCGGGACCTCCCCCGAAGCCTCTGCCGGCGACCCCGCGAATGGGGGTGCTTCCCTCGTCCCCCTGTCCAAAGGGGGGACCCCCCCCAGGACTTGTCATCAGTATCGTGTATCCGATCCCCATCCCCATCCCCATCCCCTTCGAGACCCACACCAAATGACCACCCCAGTTGGGGATACACCCCTCGAAACCCGAAGGGAACGACCTATATCCCCATCCAGGGGGGTAAATCGGCCAGCGGGGCCCAGGCCACGCCGCTGGGGATGGGGATCGAATAAACGATACTCATGCCAGGACCCCAGGGGGGTGGCGGTAATCTGACCAGGGGTCCCCTTCCCCGCGTGGAGGGGAATACGGAGAGGATATCGACTGAATTACGACGTTTCTTTTCTCTGTTCGTTCCTTTTTCTTCTGGGATTGGCGACGACGACGACGACAGCGTCGCACACACGCCGAAGGGTCGGCGGATTAGTGCCCATGTTTGTGCTCTGCGCTGCAGTGGGCACGCGCATCGAGAGTCACTCTGGCATTGAGAGGCACTCTGCAGCTGGATGCAGCAGGAGCCTCAGGGCTTCCCAGACCACGCGC